GCAGACAGTAAGCTTCTATTCAGCACCCCACATGGCCCCCTTTTATACCATTTTTGGGGCCAACACCCCCACCTATGGGTGCATCAGTGAACTGGTTGCTCCCCTCAAAATCCACTAACATGACACCTTTCACAATCAATACATTCCGGGAGTGATAAGCTAGTTATTGGTAGTAAAGATTTATGTAGGCAGATATGTAAGCTATTACACTTTCAGAAATAGCTAACTTATTATAATCTGCTGAACATTAGAACTAATTTTTAGTAAAAGAATAAATAAGCTAACTACATCTTCAAAATGTGTCATGGGATCTTTAAATTTGGTTGAGACAATCGGCAGAAATAACACAAAGGACCTCAGTTTACTATCTCATCCAAAGAATGAAAGCTCTAACAATGCAGCTATTCCTAGTGCTGCACAGAAATCTTGGCACTGATTATGAATCCAGGTCACTACATGTGAGCAACTAAACTGAGATAATGAATGATAGGAAGATTACATAAAAATGGGTTAAATGTTAAAGTGAGGTTATACACTACAATGTCCTTCTGTGAACAGGATGATGTGGGGTTCCATGTTTTCTCACTCAAAGATATCTGTACAAAAGGCTTGATCTGGCAAGTTTCTGAGTGGTAACAGGAGTGGCGGGTACTCAGTAACTTACAGGATCAGGTCATTAGTTTTCTGGTCTGTCTGTCTGTCTGTCTGTCTCTCATATATATATCAACGTTTTTACTGACGGGAAACAGAATGACATCATCACGTGTGTAGGCAAGAGCGAGAGAGATTTTCCCCAATGATGCTGTGATGCCAGAGAAGGAGGCAAGATGGGTCCCCAACTCATAGAATCATAGAACCATACAGCTGGAAGAGACCTCAGAAGGTCATCAAGTCCAGACCCCTACCCTAGGCAGGACCAATCCTGAGACTTAAAAATCTTTAGGGATGGAGACTCCACTACTTCCCTAGATAACCCATTTAAATGCTTCACCACTCTCCTGGGCTACGTCTACACTGGCATGAATTTCCGAAAATGCTTTTAATTGAGAAGTTTTCCGTTAAAAGCATTTTCGGAAAAGCACGTCTAGATTGGCAGGATGCTTTTCCGCAAAAGCACTTTTTGCGGAAAAGCATCCGTGGCCAATCTAGACGCGGTTTTCCGCAAAAAA